ATTTGCGATAACGATATTAATGACGATATAGAAAAAAAAAAAACATGGAACAACGTTTTATTGGTGATTGCAGCAGGTAGGCAGCAGCATTTATTTACTCGCCAATAAATGCAAATAAAGTGCAAACAAAATGAAGGGCATTTTCCATCCTTTTCCAATGAGCTTCTGTCATCGATGAAAGACTACCTTATTCGAAGTGTAAATCTATTGTCATAAGGTGGCAGCAGCAGCTGTGTGTTCGATTTGAAGCAGACCGATCGGTGTATGATGTCAAAATACCGCAATAGTGACTTACCCCTCATTTACGCGTTACGGCTCCGACCCGACCACTAGTCAGTGCTTGTGTTTACACCAGCGGAGCCGCGGCACGTTTCAGAAGCATCCCAGATGCGGCTCTCCACGCCGCTTCGCTAAAGATATGCGCCTCGCCTATTTTTGAAGGTAAGAGTGTGCTCTCGAATATGCTCTAGAACCGCTCTCGTGATACTTTGATGTCATACCCCGATCAGTCTGCACAGCGCTGCTTCAAGTCGAACACACCTATTGGGTTTGTGGTGTTGTTGTGCACGCTAGGGATCGTATATCCGCCATCATGTCGCTATATCATTGATATCACGATGACACTTTTTTTTATCATATAAAAATTTATACCGGTATTATAGTGGACGGTATGATATGGCACACCCCTAATCTGAACTGTAAATCACGCTTTTTACAGATCATTTTAATTTTATTTGTGCAAGTCATAAAGGTCTTAAATTTGAGCTTAAATATCCTGCAGATACCCTGGTCTGGCAAAAAACATCAATTCATGTTTTTAGGTATATAATTATCTGGATCTTGGTCGGTGAGGACCGTTCATTACTGGACCTCAAGCAATTTTAGTTGGAAGACCACTGCTGCAGAACGTACCACAATGTCGCAATGACCATAAAACGTGTAGCGTTCACATTTATTTAAATCAGTTTAATATGAAGTTTAAGTGGAATTAATTTTAATAGTCACTGTAGACCGTATCGCGATTCCTGTTTTTCTGTTCCCAAATTTAAGACGTCTTAAAATAATTTAACTTTTGTTATGAAATGTAAGATATTTAAAGCTTTATGAGGTCAGGGTTCATTAATAAAGCAATAATTTCAAATGGTTTTAAAAGTTCCACCAAGTAAAAGTAGGTACAATCACATGAGATGAGAACTCCAATTTTGAAAACACTTCTGGTAACTGAAAACAATGGCGCATTGGCCAGCGAACCTCACCTTTCCTCTGGTTCAGGCCCAGCCTGTGCTTCCGTAGCTTTAGTATCCTCTGCAACTCGCTGAGCCTTTCTTTGCTGAACTTTGGTAGAGATCTCCCTGGCAGCATCGAGCCTCGATTTCAGCTCCGTTAGTGCCGACACAGGGGCAGGTGAGGGAGTCGTCACGGTTTCAGACTGTCCTTTCAGTTTTTGCAGCTTGGACTTCAATGCCGCCACATCCTCTCTTGTAAACGTTTTCTGAAAGAACAAAAGAAACTTGATTAATGACAAGCATAAAAACACCATGAGGTTCCTGCACAGGCGTGACCATGCGTTACCTTGCTCCTGGTTGTCCGCTTGGACTTATCGCCTCCACTTGTTTGGTTTACAGGGGAGCTATTTGCATTATGATTAACAGTATTTTTGGACTCTTTGCTGGCAGTTTGTTGAGGTGCCTGAGGGGTGCTGTTGGCCTGCCTGTTGGGTGCTGTTGGCTCAATGCTCTACATTAAAATAAGACAGACTGGGTTAGCAGTAATTAAACAAAACCAAGCACACACACACATGCATTCACGGGACAGTGGCCGGTTACATAAACTGCTTACAATAGTCTTAGTCAATTAGTCATCTCAAGACTGGTCATAACTTTTTAAAGTCGGTTACATAAAAATATAGATTGGTGTAATTTGAATTCAAAAAGTAAGATTGATTAACACTTGGTTAACTGCTATGTAGTCAAACCAGTTCTTAAGACAGTTTTAACATGATGACCGTTTATGCAACTGGCCCCAGTACAGTAAAAGTTAGCCTATTTCACCAAATAAACATTCAACACTTCAAGGGGGGAAAAAAGTCCTGTAATGAAAAAAAGTTCTTAAAGAATCATTTCATCTGCAAAACTCAAATCGTTAAACAATAACTTATAAACTAATATTCGACTGAATAAACTGGCAGGTGAAAATAAATTATATGTAAGAAATATATGGTTGAATGCATCCAAGAAAATCAGCATTCCTTTTGGGTTTTCTGACTAGAGATGAAGAGAAATATGGAATAATCGAGGGGGGAGAAATGCGATATTAAGTGCTCAAGCATTTTTCTGAAGTCATTGTGTCAAAAGTGCCAGTTTTTTTTTTATTATGTACATATGCGTTCTGTGGACGTTTTTGCATGTCAATACATAGGTTAACGTTACATTAAGCTGAAGAATTTATGAACACAAAGCGTCCTGTCACCATTACGCGATACGTACCTGTTCTTTGTCGTCATTTCCCATAAGATCGAGCTTCTTCCTCGCAGTCTTGTGAACCGTGCGCTCCTCTGGTGAAGTTCTGCAGCTCAGACTGACATTGACCGTCATTCGCTTCTTTGCGCTGCTGTGCTGCTCGGTTGTGGACGGGAACAGCACCGAACACACATCAAACTCCGTCGAGGTCCGTTTAGGAGTTCGGGGACTCGCCGTTAAGCCCTCGTTACTTACATCTCGCAAGTCAGTCGCGGTATCCGCTGCTTGTGCCGATAAAGCCTCATCGATAACTTTGAGGAACTCCTGCTGGACATGTTTTTGCGGCTCTGGTGTGGTGGGATCGCGCGTCGTTTTACGCGAAGAGCGTGCAGCTCTGGACGACGTCTTTGGTTTACTGATCACCGCTGACTCCACAACGTCTACTGACACTTTTTGTCCCTTGGACCGTAAAGACCGAGCAACGCCACCCTTCTTACTCTGTGCAAAATAATCGGTAACCCGAGCTTGAGCCATTCTTCGGTATGAATAAAGTCCCTACACTTCTCGATGGCGTGCAGTAGCTAGTTGTTGTGATCCCACCGGAGCTTCCCTTTCAGGGTCTTCCTAGACTAACGTTCTCGCGAAATCGGACCACGTGACTTATGTAGTCGGATCTTGGCTTTTAACCACGCCCCGCACCCGCTGATCAAACACCAGATTCACATAACTGAATTTATGGGTTTGGTTTTGGCTTTTATTTTTATTTAACACTTTATTTTATTCTATATTTCTAACAACAACAACAACAAAAAAACATGTTAATTACATTAACATTAAAACATTAAAAACATTAAAATTGTATGCACATATTCTTCTGTATAGGCTCACTGCTTTTACATGTATTTTACTTTCAGGCTGGAAAATCTGTACCTACTCAACTTTTAAAGCCTGACATGAAATAATAGTCGCTTAAGAAAAAAGTGTTTAAAGATTGAAGTGTTTATTTACCCTTTAGATCAAATATATTTTAAGTATCATTTTTGATTCGTCAGGCTTGTATGACGTAGTAGAATATAGGATAATATGAAGCTCATATTTAAAGAGGGGAAAAAACACCTCAATTTTATGCAGTTTGGTGCAGTTGCTGATATTTATATGGCCAAAAATAAGATTAAATTCTGACAACTTGCAATGTAAATCAATGAGATCTTTATAGCAGTATTGCTGACTTCTTACATACTATACATATCAGTTATCACTCTATATCTCCCAGTAATGTCTTTGTAAGATGATATTTAAAAACTTAGTTTAGAGCAAACCCATACAAGGGTAAATGCAAGCTTAATACACACAGTGTCTTAAATGTCATTAAAAGACATGTTTTGTTCAATAAATATATGTATTGAAAAGGGTTTATGTACCAGTATATCAATGCATACGGTTTAGTTGATCAGTACTGGATTTTACTGACAATAATAACATAATACTGACAATGCAAACATAATAATGAGTTTAAGGAACGGCCAGTACTACTATATATGTCCCAGTTAGGTCTAGCTGTATGTTATTGTAAAATGGTGACTTGGTGAGATTATGACAGAAATGCCAAAAGCCTATATAAGCCTATAAGTAAATTAAAGAAAATATAGCCTATTATTTAAAACAAAAATGTAAAATAATAATAATAATAAACATTACTGTCATATTATACAAAACAAGACTGCTCATAGTTATTGAAAGGTTAGAACATTATTTGAAGTACACATTAGCATATTCATTTGACAGGCACGTTATCCAAAGTGACTTACAGTGTATAGCTTTTATTAAAGCGCCATGTTCTGCTGTTAGTAATTATTTAGTTGTAAGTAATTAAGGCAGTGGAGAATCATCTGACAAGAATTATGAGGGGAAAAACAAGGCAAACGAAACCCATAATTCCTTCTGTCGAAAGACACGTTACCCAAAACCACCACTAGATGGAGCCAATTTAAAAGACATACAGACAATGTCTTACCCATCGTAAGCTATAAGAAAATTAATGATCAGTCACGAAATAATCAATCTGGGTATTTGGAAGGAATGCGTTGCGAATGGAGAACATCAGCATGTACCCACAGTTTCTCTGCACTGAACTGACACTTAGAATAAACGAAGTAACCAGATTTAAGGCACGTGCACGTTACACTACTACACATGCTCAGAAACGTAAACAACGCATCCTATTGTTTTATTCACACAATATACACACTTGATGTTGTTTCAATTATGTTTTTCATAAGTATAAACACAAGTTATAGCATAAATAATACAGTTTCTTAAAAAATAACCTTTTAATTTTAGTAGCCATTACTATCTTGGCTTGTCTAACGTTATCATTATCAAATTAATTCAATAAAGATGGACCTGCTAAACATGCACCACATGTCTGAAATAACGCAGAAGGTCTGTATAACTGGCTTTCCTCTACTTTGAAAGCTGAAAGGCCATAATTCTGTGGGTGACACATTTGTTTGGCTGCTCAGGCAGCGCACAGCACGAGTCGTATTTCTCAGTTGAAAGTGACGTTACTCGTTTGGCACAAGTTATCTATCGTCAGAGTGGGAGTTACTTTCACCTAACTGTTGGGACGCAGCACGGACTACATAGACAAACAGAACAAACTCTCTTTATAAGTTTTGTGGCATTGCATAACAGTTTGTGGACATATTCTGGTGAAATCGAAGCAGACTAGTGCCAGAACGGAAGACTGAAGAAAGTTTAACAAACGCCGAGGCGCTGAATCACATTTTCCATGAAGATATACAATGCATTTTTTTCATTGTAACCCCGCTTTTTGAGTTTTGTATCGAAACAATCAAACGCGACGCCTTAAGAAATTATTCGTTCATTTGTATATTTTGAAGTTCGCTTTACAGAAAACGTTGGCTAATAATTAAATGTTTTAATAGTTTAATCGATGGTCTACATGTTTAGTCGTTAAATCGATTAGAAGCGAAATTTTCATTTATATAAATTAGTAAACAAAATCGAGATACTATATTTTCGCCATGTAGCTTTTTTCCCCCCACGATTCTGAGATGGTTGTGTTGTGGATTTGTGTCGTGGGAGGAATGTGAGTGGAAGTGTCGCTCATGGAGCTTCAGGTGGTGTGCGGATTGCTCTACTGCTGCCTGCTGCCCATCTTTTTACTGGCAGGTAAGACCTCAACTTGTATTATACCCACCCCTATACACAATACAGACAAACAAGAGTTGTTTTAAAATTAAATCCCTAATAACATTTGCTTTCACTTTTTTTTATTTATCTTGCCATAACAAATTATAGTCAACAAGATGAAAAAGTAGAAATCTATTTTAAAACGCCAATGCCAAGTTCTTCAAAAGCATTTTGTGTTTCTTTGTATCCACGTTTCATACATTTTAAAACGTTTATACCATTTTACACAAACAAACAACATTATTCAGTGGCTCCAAAAATGTCAAGTGGTGTAACCATGAAACTTTTGAACCATTCCGTACACCCTGAATCCACTTATAAATAAGTTTTGAGTAAAACAATCACAGTTTGGGGCTAAAATGTGTGTATTATATAGTTTTTTTAGAAGTACAAATATTCCTTGTCTCACATCTGGTTATAAAAACTGCACACATCTTAGATGAAACACACACATATATATATATATATATATATATATAGGACAATTCCAAGGACCCGATGAGGAAGAGGGGGCCCGGAACACGATTTTTAACATCTAATCATGCTTGTACTTGAGGTTCATTGCTTGAATGTGTCCCACTGAGTGCAGTGGGTGATCTCACCTCATTCAGGTGTTTGTTTAGCAGACACGCCCGAGCAGCTCACTTCCTCTGGGCCTGAACTTATTTAAGGATACATCATGCATTCCTGCTTCCCAGTTTGCAACTCGCATCTGTTTTCTTTCTCAGACCTGTTTTACTGTCTTCTCACACAGTTCTTTTTCTGCGTAATTTGCTTGCATTCTACCGAGCACAAATACTTTCATGCTTGTGGTGTTTAAGGCTCACCTCCCATGAAGAGTCTAATTATGTGCTTTTCACACTTGAAATTGTTAAACCAAGGTCATAGTTCTTACTGGGTTGCTAATTAATCCTGTAATTTCACACTGCACATGTGTAATCGCTGGGTTAACATTCTTATTTTTAGATTTACAACATTAATAATATTAAATGGAAAAGTCTGGCATGTAACCTGTTTTACTAACTCACAGCCAACATTTTTATGGTACGGCCTATATAGACACGATATGGGCTTGAGGTATGGGCCCTAAAAGGGTTTGTCTATGGGTTCCATGTTGTCCCTGTCTTAATTAACCCATATGAATCTCATGTAGAGTGACTGGGGCTAATTCAAATAGAATATTGGCCCTGCCATGAAATATTAGCTGTATGTCCTATGTCTGTGTACATAACACTCCAGTAAATGATAAAAATGTATTTAACACGACAACCAATCAAGTAAATTGGTAATCAAGTAAATCCAGTGCTCTCTACAATCTATTTAAGTCTGGAATACACTACATGACTTTTAAAATCTGAATAGATTTGAAAACACTAGGCATCATATGATTTGTAAATAGTTACACAGGAAAATGCAGAAATGTGTTGCTTTGCTTGGAGACGCATGAACAATAAAAAGAATGTGTTTTAAAATTGACTCAAAATATTTAACTGGTTAATTCGACTGGATGAAATCATAGTTTGAAGCTAAAATATCTGAGTATGTGCACATCATACACTATGCAATTTTTGGTGAAATTTGTCAATTCTGACTGCCCAAAATCTGCAGACTGGCTCTGACTTTCAGCAACAAGCGCCGACTCATCCAGACTGCAAATCAGGGCAAAAATCTGGGCAAAAGTTGCGTAGTTGATTCCAGAATTTAGGTTCACAATGTTTTTGGGAAACACAGCTGTGATCAGTTCCGAATGGATAAATCGAATTGAATTTCATGGGTTGTGAATGTCTTTTTATGACTCTTTTACTGACTATTTCCCTCGTATGCTAAAACGCCACATGCAAGAATATTTATTTAGGTAAGCATCATTTACTTCAGAATTGGATTTCTTGCTAAACAGTTTGCTAAACAACTCTTAACATGCTATATATGTTTAGTATCATATTTTGTTGTTAGTGCTTCAGGACTTTGTAATCTGTGCTAAAAACATGAAACCTTGACATCAACATTAGCACAGGATTAAGTGTAGTGTGAAAAGCCTCTGTTTGCTGTCGGGCCAGACAGGTTTCTATATTTTTAACATTTCTCCCCCTGACCGTAACAAAAAAAAAAGCAGGAATAATTTATAGGCTGAAATCCTGCCATGTTTCATAAACAGAACATATAAAACTATCCCAGGCAGGTAAAGATTAGCCAGAGGCACAGTCTGTTGACAGGATATTGTTTGAACATGTTGTTTCTCGTGTCATGTGGGACTCATGTGGCACACAGGAAGAATTGCAGCGTGCATCGAACGTATTGGGTTCTCCTCAGACTCGCGCATGCGGTCAACCAGATTTGTTGAGCTCTCCACATGGTTTTCAGTGGCAACCGTTTAACTTTTCACACCTGCATGAAAAAAAAAATCACCTTTTATTTCAATCCTAGAAAGATTTAGGTATATTTCTTTCTTCAGAATCAGAATGGCTCTATTGCATGTTTTTCAACTGCAAAGTATGGCAACCACACAAGACACAACCTGGGTGTGTTAGCAGCATGCGCTATCACGCTAACCAGTATGCTGTCACAATACAAAGCCTCAATGTGCCCATAAGGAAACGGCCATGCCTGAAGTTAGCCTGAGGATGGAAAGTGTGCATCATTGAAAGAATTGAAGAGTCCTGAGATGGCTCAGGCCTTCCAGCATGCCTCTCACTTTGGACCTTTCATACCCACTCGAGATCTGTGCTGTTTTACTGCCAGATCTAAAGGTGAGAAAGACAACCAAAAAGAAATTCAAATCCTTATTCATGTAGTGTGGTTTCAGTCTAGGGGTACTTCAGGCCTGGGGAAAATATCAAATACTTTATACTTAAGGTACTTCCGTATATGTCCACTAGTCTGGGTTGACATCAGAACAAGGAGAAGCTTATCAAAAAGTCATGAAATTCTCAGCTTAAAAGGTGAAAAACACTAGCTGTTAGACAATCGTACGGTCAGTGATGTCTGAGGTTTGCTAATTATTTTTGCTGAATTCAGAGCTTGGGGGAAAAATACTATAATTCATTGTTCAAACACATTAGTCCTTTTATTGCGACTAGGCTGTGTTTTGGGACAGCCTATATGATGACTTTCATCACTGAGTATCGAAAGCAGTCATAGACAACCACACTGTCGTACAGTTTGCACCCCTAAAGCTGCAGAGCCCATTTGCATTCTGGCCAGTATTGAGTGGGTTCCTTTCGTTCCGCTTTACACCTACTGTTATGCTGCCTTAAAGTTTTCCTGGGAAGTTCCTACATGGGAAAAATGATAGAAATCAAAGTTATGTTGTGATATGAAGTTATTTTGGACTGAATAAAATGAACGCATTGGGCTATTTAATTTCTCTCTTTTTCACTTTCTGACAAACACAGGAAGCTTTTTAGTGCTTCTGCAGTAAATGAATGAGCAAAAGATGCACATTAGGTGTAATTGATACTTGGTGTGCCGTGCACAGTCTGATCCGGACTTTGGCTCCGGTCCAGAGACGCGATTGCACGGAGCGGATCATATGTGCTAGTCGGCATATATTAAACACTTAAAACTACACAGCCTCAGCATGATTATGATCACTATTTTATTTTACTAAGAGTTTCATATTGAATCTAGGGGGTATATTAGACTGTGGCTGTCAAATGCGGCTTTACCGAGCTCAACAGCTCTGACCCGTACAGATATAAACAAAACGCTATTGGCTAATTTAAAAAGGGGGCGGGGCTGCTCGATATGTCCCGCCCTGTCTTCCTGTTTCAGTTGAAATTATGTCACCACATAGAATAACGCTGCGTGTTTCAAGGCGCTTCAGGGGACCTTTAAAACCAGACAAATGATAAATTGAGTGTTTTATAATTAAAGGAAACACAGGACATATGTGGATTGCTTAATGCATACTGTGACACTTAAATGCTTTTTATGTGTAGTGTTGCTATTCTACCACTAGATTCTCTGCGTAAGCATGCTCAGAGGTGTGCTTATATTTACACACATTTCTACGTATAAGTACAAGTTGGTAGATCCCACACTTTGCATGAAACTGTTCTTACGCACACATCTGTGCGTACGCACTGTTGTATGATAAATGAGGCCGCTGGTGTTTTTGAAAAATGCTACACTCCTATTGAGAATAACTGAAAAAATATGCTAGCCTTGGGAAAAAACGCTTTGGTGGACATGTGGCCTTAGTGTAAACACCTCAATCGATCCAACTGAGCTTGATCCAAATTAAATTTCAATCAGGGAAGGGATGGTGTAGACCTGAAATATTCTCAATAGGACAAAAAATAAGCATGTAAATGCTTGAATCCAACTATTTCCTCAATCAGATTGAAAAATACCTTGTGCAAATGTAAAGTGTTGTGATGCTTATGTTTACACGTGTCTTCCAAATATGCGTGTTTATTTACATCTCATGTCTTATAAACTGGTCAGTGGAGGAGACTGAATATTTACTAAATGTTTGCTAAAAAAAGTTCTATATATGTTAGCTTCTCTTTTAGGTTAGTCAACAAGGAAAAAATGACAATTGAACTCGCGGTAGATCCGGTGACATTATCATATACAACTAGGGCTGTTGCGGTGAGGGAATTTCCCTTGCGGTAATTTTGAGTGGCTCAATAGAGTATGCGGAATTATCGCAGTGCATGCATATATATATATATTAGGGCTGCACGATAAATCGCATGCGATATTTAACGCGCATCTTGTCAGAAAAGCCGGTTCTGTAATCGGCGGTAAATCTCCATCACCTCGCGGTTGCTGCGGTTCTTGCATTCCTCTGCGGTTTGCTCGTCAATAGCGCGGTATTGTGATATTGCGGTTATCGCGACAGCCCTATATACAACTGAGGTATTCTAAGTTAAAACATGGACAAACATGGTATTTCTTAAAGACAATATTTAAAAAAAATTTCTTATTATAAAGAATATTATTATTGTTGTTATTATAAATTTGAAGTAGGCTAC